AGGCCCCTGTGGCAGGAAACTATGGAAATTGTCGGGGTCCCGGGGAGTCTACCCTAGCCATCCACTGGTTATATTAAAGCTGGGGAAACAACAACGGGGGTGGAATTTTTAGTAGATAACAGAGTAACATTTCTGGTTTTAAACCAGGCTCTGACACCTATAGACAATGATTTTGTAATGGTAAAGGGAGCTACTGGCCAAAGCGAAAAGGCTATTTTCTCAAACCTCTGAAGTTCAAATTGGGGAAACAATTAGGAATACATAAATTTCTTTATATGGCAAATTCACCAAAGCCCTTATTGGGGCAAAATTTATTATTGGAGGCAGAAATAAGATCTTATTTGGAAAGGAAGGAATAGAATTTAAAATGGGGGATGATCAGCTAATTGAGATTTTAAGTTTGGCCTTGGTAAGTCCCTCTGAAAAAACACAGGTACCCAAAGAGATTCAGGATCAAGTATTCCCAGGAGTATGGGCCACTGAAATACCCGGCAAAGCAAAAACAGCTTCACCGATAGTAGTCACAATTAAACCAGGACCTAAGCTGGTGAGAGTAAAGTAACCTTAAGGTTACAAAGTAAAGATCCAGTGACCAGTGGTCAGTTTTACAGGGACAAAAGCAGATGCAGAAAGAAGTACACACAGGTGTTTACAGGTGAAAACTTACCAGGAGACTAAAGATTAATGATCTTGCCCAGATTAATGATCTTGATCACTAGAAAGGAGAAGATACTGTCAGCGCAGATCTGACATGTGCCAGGCCAAAGAATAAATCCAAGTTGCTGTTTCCATCGATCTTAAAAATATTAAGTTACATTTCTCTCCTGCTTCTGAATATCCAGATAGCAAACCATAACAGGAAGCCTTGTTCACTAGGCAGTTGTCTGACAAACTGGTTTGTGACAAAAAGCAACAAGACGATTCAACAGGAGCACGGGCTGTGTGAATTCAATGCTTGCCAAAGTCTCATACAGAGCAGAAACTAAAGTGAACCCAAGAAAACTCAGAGACCTTGCCAAGGGATGTGTCGCTATGGCTCCATGGGCAGAAAACCTCTTGAACTTCAGCTGGACTTGGGAAGGGATTTCCTAATGTCTCTTTCCTCTATGGCCACCGCAGCAGCCTGCAGTGGAGCAGCTGGAAGCTGCCCCGCTTCCCTCCTGCTGCACTGCCAAGCTAATGCCTTGATCAATGGCCCTGAGTGATCTACATCAGAGATGGAAAAGAAGGAATAAGGCAATTAAATCACAAACAGAAGTACATAACAAAGCAAAGCAGACAGCACAGTGTGTACTATCCTAAAGTACTCTAAATGTATGAGGCACAGTTTCTCATCAAAAAGGGCAAGTTAAAAACATCTGAGGGTGGTACCCCAGCCCTTCTCAAGGGTGGTCAACCGGGTGCCCGAGCTATGGAAACAGGCAGAGAGAGAGCGCAGCATGACCACACCGGTGCCCAGGACCTTATGAGATGTACTACTGCAGGGACAGGTTTTGTTTCTACTGGAGCAGATGCTGCTTTCAACAGCTTTCCACCCAGCAGCGCCCTCAGATTGGAAATAACAGACCTCGTAGCATTGTGCAAATCCAGGAACAAACCCTAAATCCAGATGAACCCCATGCCTGGTAGCACCCTGCAAATCTGGCAGCATGCACCCAACAGCAACACCCCCAAACCCTGAATTTTTCCCCTATAATTGACAGCAACCACCAGGCCCAGACTCCTCAAAATCTGTCAGCAACCCCCAAACCCACAAGCACCCTCAAGCCCAGGGGCACACCTTAAACCTGCCAACAGTCACCCATACCCACAGAAACAGCTACCAAATGCACAAACAGCCCCAAACTGGGTGCTGTTCTTTAGAGAAGGCAGCACTTCCCAAAACTGGCTGTACTGCCAGCCCCAAGGGGTGTAGCCGCTCCAAGCCTGGGGAACTGAAGGCACACCATGGCAGCAAGGGCAG